AGCACAGCACTAGTAACCAATTCAGCAGGATTCAATAACTTCTCTTGATATATAATATAACACATGAAGTAAATACATAATACCAAAAGCAGGTTTTCCAATGTGGTAGTTCAGCGGAGAGAAGTTTCACTTTCAGTTTTAGTTTCAGATACCAGCACAGTTGCAGCTTTAGTACAGAACAAGCCACGCCCAGGCTCCTTGCTGTCTCCTTCCTTGTTGCTCACACAGCAAATACTGTTTGTTTCCAAATAGCCCTCAACTCTCTCACACACTGACAGGATGCTAGCCAGATGAATTCCATGAATGCTGGTAGGCAGAGGCACCGGAGTACCTCTGTTTGTTTCCAAAAAGACCTCAACTCTCTCACACACTGACAGGATGTTAGCCAGATGAATTCCATGAATGCTGGTAGGCAGAGTCACTGGAGTACCTCTGGTGCCTCTGCCTACCAGCAGAGGAGTTTTTTTCTTCTCAAAAACTAAGGTGCGTCTTATACTCTGGTGGGTCTTATAGTCCGAAAAACAGGCATATATACGCCTATACCTCTTGCTCAGACAGGCAACCCTATATCATTCCAGACAGATGGTTGTCCAACTTCTTACAAACTTTGTTGGAGCATCCACAACTTCGGGAGGCAAGTTGTTCTGCTGATTAATTGTTCTAATTGTCAGGAAATGCCTCCTAGGTTACTTCTCTGCTTGATTAGTTTCCATTCCATTATCTATGGAGATTCTCAGATGTCTAGGTCATGGTTGTCCCAAAGATGAAGAAGCTTCTTGGATGAGAAGTGAAACATCTTCAAAGAAAACCCAGAAAAGTCCAGTTGCCTCTTGAAACAGCACCTTTGGAATTTCCATCCATTGCTTCTTGTCCTGCCTTCAGGTGCTTTGGAGAATAGCTCCATTTTTGGCACTCGGTGCCCAAAAGTTTGGCCATCACTTCACTAAACTGATATCAAGATTCCCCCCCCCCCCCGCATTTATAGATAAGAATTATTAGAGTTTTGCAGTCCACACAGAATCCTTTATCTTTCGCCTCGTTCTATGTTCCATGCTACTTTATGAAGCCCATCAAGTATCAGCCAGAACTATGGATAGAATTTACCTTATTCGTTTTCCCTATTAAACCACTGGCTTATAAATGAATGGGTTACATCAATGCCCAGAATTAAAATGGACTGGGTAGAACTGAAGAAACAAAGAAACTGAAATGTAAGAAGAAGTGATCACTGTAAATAAAATTGGATTCTTAAGAGAGAGCTGGAGATGGGAAAAGGAGGGAAAAAATGTGAAAACCAAGAAAAACAATGAAGAGAGAAAGGATGTAGAAATACTGATGAGATTTTAAGTAGAGTCAGATCTGGGGAATTATATAAACACGTCCAAGAAGTCAACAGAAGCTAGGGTCAATTCAGAGTTTCTAGATTGTGTAAATACTTAAGAAGGGGTCTTGGATAGAAGGAATGGAGAGAAAGAGGCAAACAGAGAATGCAGAGCCCCCAAAGGAAATATTAAAAATACAAGTGTAGAGGCTTATAATAGTGCGAAGTGCAAATGTAGAACTCATGGCCTTCTACTTATTAGCAAACTTACCTTTAATCAATGACTGGACCCTTGTTGTTAGATATGGGAGCCTCCTCAGGGTGCCGTCGGCCAGACAGTGTCGGCTAGCGACCCCCAGGGGGAGAGCCTTCTCTGTGGGAGCGCCTTCCCTCTGGAATGAGTGCCCCCGGAGCTTCGTATAATCCCCAAACTCCAGTCCTTCCGACGCGCCCTCAAAAGTTGGCTTTTCCGGCAAGCCAGCCTGGCCTGAACAAAACAAAATACAGTATTGATCACTGTTAATTTTAATTCGAATTTTTTTAAAAAAA